AGAAGCAGGGGCTAAAGCTCCAACAGGCAGAGGAGCAGGTGTCCCTCAGATTAGTGGGGGAGGGGGTGCCCGGTATCCTGTGGCTCAGATAAGATGACAGAGGGATCTTGTTTTTGTCCTGTCCCGGCACAGTCACAGACTGGCCCTGTGTCATACTGACGTTCTGTGAAGGTGTTTATGTTCAACAGGACAGCATGGCCTACCTGCGAAAGCCAGCCCACTCCCAGCCACACCAAGAGCTGGCGCTGATGCCCCTCCTTCCAGCTGGCTGTCGGGGCTGCCTTCCTCTTTCTCAGCTGGTTGCTCACAGGTGCCCCCCCACCCCCCATCCCATTGTATCTGCTGCTGAGTTTGCTGCCATGGCCCGACCCCTGACAACATGTGCACTCACTTCTCTGGCTAACTGAAGACTGCTTGTTACCAAATAACTAATTAATTGCAACTGGGCTAAGTGCTAGGTGGGGAAGCACTGAGAAACCTAATCTCAAGGGTGGGGGGCGGGGGGAAATCACAGCTAGCTTCTAGGTGGAGGTGACTTTTAACCTGGGGCCTAAAGAGTAGGAACTAACCAGAAAAGGCGGGAAAGATCATTCTGGGTCAAGTGATTAATTCGACTAATACTGTTGGGGGGCTTGTCATGAGGCAGGCCCTGTGCTAACATTTTCATGTGCTGTTTCATTTCATTTTCACAGCCCCCTGATTTGGTAAGTAACGAGAGCTAACACTGACAACTCTAAGTGTCCTCCACGTAGGAGCCCAACGAGCCCGGCTAGAACCCTCTAAGGTGAGGACTCTCATTGCTCCCATTTTACAGGGAAACAGAGACACGGAGACCCTAAGTTACCTGCCTTGCCCAGCAAGTGGTGCAGCCGGGATTCGAACCCGGGCAGCCTGGCTCAGGACCCCTGACTCTTAACTACAAAGTCTGTGGCCCTTCTATTTATTTGTCCCCACTTTAAAAATGAGACACCCCGAGCTCTTACAATTTGTCACGGTCACGTGGCTCCTAAGGCCCTAGGCAGCCAAGACTCAGACTCAGGGGCCTGACTCCGAAGCGCCAGGACTATAAGCCATGAACTTAGAAAATGCACGCGGGTGCTTGTCTTTTTCACCAGCATCAATATCTAATTTGACCGTTCCTGTGCAGCTTTCAAAGCTAGGAGAGAGAGAATAAATTTTAGTTTATGTCCAACTATTATTGCAGGAGGACGTATGAGCCGAGTGAGGAAGCCATTGGCTTAATCAAGGACTGAAGAGCGACAACGAAGTCTGGACGACGTCTGGGTGAGGGTATCCGGAGCAATCCGCCAGTGTTGGGGTTGGACCACCTCCTTGGGCAGTGAGTGGTTCTCCGAGCTGGCTGAGTCCCGGAACCCCCCGGGAGCTTGTTAAAAACCCAGCTGCCTGCGCTGCAGCCCGAGATTCGGGTTCGGGAGGCGCAGCCGGGCACCAGCATCCTTAACCAGCCCCTGGAATCCCGGCTCACAGGCAGGTCTGGGAATGCCGCGAGGGGAACCCTAAGGCCAAACCTGGGGGGAGTTGGGCCCAGAAAACCAAACCAAATAGTGGAAAAGAAAGGGGGAAAAAGCAAGATTCTGCTCGTTTTGTGGCACAGAAGCAGGAAGAACCAGGACGAGCAGCTGAGCCGGGCAGAGAGGAAGCACTTCTCACCGTCCACCCTCCTGTCCGTTCATAAAAGCGGCCGTGTATTGAGCCCCATTACTCCGTCCCCGGTCCTTTATGTGGATTATCAGAGGCCTCACAATAACCCAATGAGATTAGGCGTTAGGCTCCCAGTTCTAGTCCCTGATAGTCTTCGGTGTCACTGTGACCCCTTCTACAGAGGAGGAATCAGAAGCAGAGAGCGGCTGGCCTGCAGTCCAGCTGTTGGGAGATGCGCTGGGATGCCGGTCCAGCAGCCCTGTCTCTGGAGCTTGGAGCCCCTTCTACACCGTGAGGTGGGCACAAGGAGGACCCAGGCCTGGCCTGAGCATCCGGGGCAGTGGGCAAACTGAGGCACGGCTAGAGCGACCGCAGGGCAGTGGAAATGCTAAGAGGAGGGTGGACGTCTCTGAGCAAAGAACTAGGAGTTCAGAGGGCGGAGCGGGCATTTGGGGGTGGGGTCAGCTTCCCTGATGGATGGGAGATTCGGGCAGTTGTTCATTTACTCAACCAAGAACCAGGGCCTGGAACGGCGCTGGGGACCCAGTGGTGGACACGAGGGGTGCAGCGCCTGACCTCACGGTGCTGCCGGTTCAGGGGTGGGACAGACCTCAAGTTCATCCTGCAAACAGTCATTTAATTGCAGGGACCTCCGCTGGCCTGGGAGAACAGTGTGGACGTGTGGGGTCAGAGAACGGCTCTTGGAGGAAATGCCTTTAAGTTCAGCTCTGACCTACGTGTAAGGATTCAGCCAGTTCCAGGCAGAGGGAGCAACACATACAACGGCTCCGAGAGCCGAGGAAACGCGGCTCATTTGGAAAACAGCAAGGAGCTCATCATGGCTGCTGCAATACAGAGCGGAGTGAGTGTCCCGAGATGAAACCAGATCCTTGTGTGTGGAGACTGTCATGCCAAGTAAAGGCGGGAACAGTATTTCAGGCAGAGGGAACAGCATATGCAAAGGCTCAGAACCCAGGAAGATTCGATGGCTGCAAATAAAGTGTGGGCCGTGAAGCCTCCGCACACTGGGGGTTGTTTCATAGGCTTCACACCCAGTGTATGCGGTGACTGCGAGTTTGTTTCTGAGAACAGGGAACCAAAGGCTGGGTCTTCAGGGAGAAGCCCACTGGGATAAGGGCCAAAATCCATTACGTCCCAGGACTGTCCTGAACTTGTGGTGGGACCTTGGCTGCGTCTCGTCCCCATTTGCAGCTTTACTTGGTCCGGCTGTAAGATGAGCAGGTTGTACCAGGCCCATCTCTAAGGCGGTTTTTCCTTTTCACATTTTCTTGGGGACTTCCTCTGAGATGAGAATTAAGGTAAAGTCAGGAGAAAGTGGGAAGGCCTCAAGGGGTCTTCTGTTAGGGTTTGTGAGGTGATTCAGTTCATTTCACTTCAATGTTTTAAAAACGCAGCAGAAACGTTATTTTGATGCCTTAAGGAAACAACTACAAAACTTTGCTTACTGCCAAAAAATTCAAACATCACACCAATAGACAACTGATCATGTTACAGTGGCTTCCCCCACTTCAGATGTTCTCTGCTCCTCAGCTCCAGATAAACTATTTGGTAAACATTGTCTGAGAATAAGCTAGCAGAAGCCTGTGGGCTCCATCCAGGCTCAGAGATGTATTTTGTTTGGCCAACAAAGTTGTAAAATTGGGGAAATTTTACATTTTTCAGCTTCTCAGAGAAAGCCAAATATCTAACTGACTGGATCCAAAGAGCAGCTTTCTCCACTTCACCAGAGTCCCCACCATTCCCTAATGCCTACTGCACAGCTTACTTCTCTCATTAACATAACCTGCCTCATTCCTCTTCTAGGAGCATTCCTTGAATATAAGACCGTGTCTGTATGCACATGTATTTCTTTCTATACTTAAGAATCCTTCTATGTCTGTATACAGATCTGGCTCCCCTTTTCAAGGTTAAGTCATATTCTGCTGTCTGAATCTCCGGTAGTTATTTAATTTCCTCTTGACGTGCATATACAAAAGTTCCACTTTCTTTATAGTCTATACTGTAAATATCCGTGTACATTTTTTTAATGAAGTTTTATAGGATAAATACCTAGAAGTGGACTTACTGGGTAAATATGTTTATGTGCATTTTAAAAATAGAAAGATTTAAAATTTTAAACTTACAATGTTAAATTTAAAAGGTATCACAAAATTGCCCAGGTTACATGAATTTACATACCCAGAAAATGGTAGTGGTACCCCGGCCCCCAGCCTTCTTTTGATCTGTATTTCTTTAATCACTAAGGTGATGGAGCATCCTTTTATGTTTGGTGGCCTCTTGTACATCATCTGTTGCCTTTTGCTGACATTTCCACTTGGTTCTTTTTCTCTACTCTTATTGATTTTAGGAGTTCTTTATATATGAAGGACATTAGGCCTTCACCATACATGCTGCAATTTTTTTCCCAGTTTCTTATCTGTCTTTTGACTTTTTTATATGTTGTTTTTACTTTGTGGAAAAATCATAACTTTATTTGCAACCACATACATGAGTCTTTTTCTTTTGGGGAGGGTCCCACAACCTGTCTTCTTTAGTAGGCACAATATTAATAAATGTATTTCTTGATTTAAAAATTTGAATTAAGGAATACATTCTCCATTTCCCCACAGGATCCAGCAGTGTCTGTACTAATGATCTCATAAATGGGTTACTTCATATTTTTACAGTCACCTGTCTGATCCCTTAAGACAGATTATATAGGTATAAGTATAGAGGTGTGTGTGTGTCTCTTTGTGTGTGCATCACATTTACGAGAGAACGTCTCTGGTTTCATGGGCCCCTTTACATTTTAGAGCCATCGGCAGTGTATTTTTGGTGGAGAGAACAGACACAGCTGAGGGCTGGATGACCTTTTTGGTTTCCCTGACTGGCAGCAAAAGGAGGGGAGGCATCGACGCCTGTTGGTAGATTCAAAAACAAAAAAACTCCACGTTTTTTGTCCCTTTACATAAATAATGCAAATTCAGGGATCACATATGTCCTCCCACCACCCACGATCACCGTCTTCTTTTTTTCATTGCAATGTATTTCCTGCAAGTATTACTTTTCTTAGTATATAGGTTTTTGTTTTGGAAACCTGGTTTGTGTCTGTTTTGTTTAACATGTGATGACAATTTATAACCCCTAACACTTAATGTTTTAACCTAGCAGTTCCCTAACCTGGCTGGGCAGCTGGCTTCCCAGTGGAGCTTGTTAAAAATAGTGAATCGGCAACCCTGGGGCCTGGGCCCTGGGTCTGCATTTCTAACAAGATCCACGGAGGCGTCTGGGACACAGGCAGGCCAGCTCGAAGGGACCCCACCCGGCCCCCGCCGTACCTGTGATCGTCTGGGTCTCTGAGGTGATGGTTCTGGTGGTGCTCTGGGGCTGGGTGGCAGGCACCGTCTCCTCCGATACAAACTGGACCGTGCTGGGGGCCGCCCCGGATGTGCCGGTGAGCTGGCAGCCACTTTGCTTGTGAGCGACGAAGGCGTCCAGGTTGTTAAACTGCTGCTTGCAGATGCCACAGATGTGGATGTCAGGAGTCAGCTCCACCAGCACCGTTGTGCCACCTGGAACTCCATGGGACGAAGGCAAAGTCACAGATTAATTCCAAACGGTTTGAAATCACAACACAAACCAGATTCACGGTAGGAAAAGGGCATGGTGGCAGACGTGGCTAGGTGCTGGCCCAGCATCCACGCCACTCCCTTTTTCTTCCTTGCAAACAGAATCCCAATTCTGTCCTAGCAGCAATGGACCCAGACCCAAGTGATGGCTCGTGACCCATTACTACCCACAGGGTCACTACTGGCCTTTTACCCAAGAAAGTCTTTGATGTGCAGGGACCAGCAGCCATCTCCTACCCCAACTAAAAGGTAGTTGTACTCCCCAATCATGATGAAAACCAATCCCCCTACTTTTCCAACCCTCTGCTCCCATTATGAGAATCCTAGTCTAAATAATCTTGATCCCCTACTACTCTGAAACCCCTCCAGCACGATGCTGGAGGAGCTTCTGGGAAAAGTGTGGCTTTTGTGATAAAAAGGGAGCAGACATAGTTGACACTGTCTCCCTATTCTTCTGGCCTTGAATGCAGATGTGATGCCAGGGGCTTCTGCAGCCATACTGTAACCATGAGAAAGAAACTGAGATCCCTACAAATGCTGGCCCTTATTTCACTGAACCCCTGAATTAACCCTGGAGTTAACCAATTCCAGACTTCTCCTTAGGTGAGTATAGTTCAGTTTTGTTACTTGTAGCCAAAATTCATCCCTAACTGATATGGACATTATTTCTCAATAGTAATGATATCAAGAGTTAATACTGTGCTAATATTTGCAAAGCACTTACCCTAGTACTTGGCACTGTATTAGAAAGTGCTACATAAATGTTTGTTCAAGAAATATAATTAATGGCTCTAATAGGGCTACTTTAATTTTTATTTAAAAATTTTTCTTTGTCTTATTATAAGGAAATTCACGTTTATAACAGAAAATTTGGAAGAGAAGGGGGGAATCACTCACCATCTTTCCACCTATGAGTACCAGGAACATTACAAAATATTTTCTTCCATTCATTTTCAATTAAAAATTGTTTAAGATCAGAATGTATTGTAAAATCAATCTTTGCTCCACATAATATCGCATGAACATTGTGCTATATCATTAAAATCTCTTTAAACATAACTATTTAATGACAACACATTAAGCTATGTTACTCATGCCTCATCATCTTCTCAGTAACTACAAGGTCTTTACATCATTTCCAATCTTTCTCAAATCTAAATAATATGGGAACTACCTTCCATGTATATGGCTGGCATTCATGCATTGTAATTTCCTGAAAATTTATGAAATATTTACATTATGTCGGATTTTCCCCAAATCTAACTAAGACAAGGAGTCCCTGTGCGGAAAGACAATTTGGTTGACTTGCTAAGGAGAGAGACTCGGGGCTGAGCGGGGTAAGGTTTGATGAGCGAGTGCCCCGTGCACTTAAGTTCTTTGAAACCAGTGGATGGTCTTTTCTTCTCTGGAACACCGCCTCCCTGTAGCGACTGAGGTGCCCCTGGGACTGAGAGGAAAACAAGGAACTAAGGGAGAAGTGAGTGGCATCACAGAGGATTCCTTAGTGACCGTCAGGGCTGATACCCAGGATGAAATGGGGAGAAGTTTCTGCTTCATAGGACGGTTCTGAGGATCAAAGGCCAGCACAGGCGCCCCATCCCTCAGCATGTCACCTGCGGGGGTTATTATATAGAGGGGGCACCCTATTTGATTTTGAACGAATCCCCCTCTGAAAATGTGGAATGATAAAATATACCTCCCTTCTGGGCTTGTAGTGAGAATCAAGTGATTCCAAAGAAAAAACACTGGACAACAAAAAGAATTGCTTTACCTTTGCAAAGTTCTCCAAGGCTGTCTCAGACTTGGCATCAGAATAGCCGGGGTGGGTGGGGGGTTGTTAAACACAGACGCCTCTGAGCCCCACTACGGAGACACTGAGTCATAATGGAGGTGGGATGAAGGGGGGCTGGGGTTCAGGAAAATCTGGGCTTTTTACAAGTTATGCAAGAAATACCCAGCCAAACTTGGGAGCCAACGTCTCCAAAATTGTTAACAGTAACAGCTCACAAGCTACCCGCTTACTATGTGCCAAGTGTGTGCAAACCCGTGCCGGGGGCTCAAACTTTATGAGACTCCCAACCGCCCGGGGGAAGGCCGGCGGATCCCTCCCCTCCATCCGATGGGTGGGGCCCGGAGAGCGTTTTTTGTTTTTGTTTTTCTTTTTTTAAATGAGCGCTCGCGCTCCCAGGTGGCTGGTGTGCGCTCAGTCCCCGGACCACACTTTGGGAAACAATGCCACGGGCGAAAAAGGCTGCTGTCCTCATCCGGAAAATGAGAATGAACCCTAAACCCAAAGCAAGCGCCCGCGGCGCCGCTCCCCATTCAGATCCCCACCTTTCCTGTGGGAAAGACTCTGCAGAGCGCCGGCAAGCCCAGCCGGCCAGACCTCATGAAAGCCTCGGCTCCCCAGCCTTCGAGGATTCTGAGCCACCGAGGCAGAAGTTTTCCCATCCCCGTTGCCGCGGTTACCCCCATCTCCCCCCCAAACTCCGCCTGGGGGGCGTGGAACGCCCCGAGGGGGTGGCGATGGGCTGAACGGCAAGCCCTCCCCCACCGTTCCCTTCCAAGGGGTCTTGCGAGGCTGCAGAGCGCCCCCCGCCTGGCGCCGCGCTGGGCGCCCCCCGCCCCAGCCCACTCCGCCGCCCCCTGCGCGGCGCGCCCGCCGCTCCCGAGTCGCCGGCTCAGGGCCGTCACCCCGATTTCGGGGCCCCGGGCCTGCTGGCTGCGTCGCAGACGTGCCTGGGCCCGGGCCCTGGAGCGCGCACTGGGCCCCGGAGCGCGCACTGCGTCCGGAAAAGCACTTACTTTGCACGGAGCCCGGGAAGCTCTCGGCCTCGCCGCTCGCGTTCATGGCCGCACACTGCGGGGGTCCCCGGCCGGCGGGGGCGCCAGGGTGGGGGGCGCTGGTCTACATGGTGCAAGGACTTTTCCTTTTATTTTTCCACACCCCCCAGCCTTCCTTCTCCCAACTCTGCGAGGCGGGGAGGACGGATGTAAAGCAAGCTCCACTTCCGCTGCCTAGAGGGCGCTGGCCGGGCCGGCCGCCCCAACCTGGCTTTGCATCAGCGGCTCCCGGGGGAAGCTGCGGGCCAATCCCGATGCCCGGCCGCGCGGCCCCGAACCCGCGGAATCCCCCGGGATCTGGATGGCGCGCACGCGTCCGGGCGGGTTGGGCGACCGCGGGCGGCGAGGGATGCGCCCCCTGGGCTGCGGCAGCCGGCGCCCCCGCCCGCACCCCGGCGGTTTTGACCACGCGTTTGGCTTCCCCGGCCCTGGCGCCTTTGCACCTGCCGCCCTGGGCGTCCGGTCCCCAAAGCAGCCGGGCAGCCGCGTTGCTCCCGGGTCGCCGGGGTGGCTTGTGGAGAGGACCGCGTCGGGCTGCAGTTGGGGGGTGGGCGCGCGGGCCGCGATGGGCTTGGGAGAAATCCCCGCTGAGCGTCAGCGCCCGGCAAATCAGCAGAGCGCTGGGCGGGTCCCCTGCCCGGCTAGTGAAATAAAGGGGACCGCGATCACGTGGATGATAAGAGTAACAGCTGGTACCAAACGCTGAAGGCCTCCAGCTCCAGGGGTCTGCCATCTGGATCGTGCACACAGTCACCTGGAGGGCTGGTTAGAACGGACCGCTGGGCCCACCCCAGAGTTTCTATTCAGTCGGTCTGGAGTGAGGCCCGAGAATGAGCATTTCTAAGTTCCCAGGTGAAGTCCCTGACGTTGGTGTACACTGCCCTCCCCGATCTGTCCCCGCTCGCCGGACCTCATCTCCCACTACTCTCTCCTTCCCTCGGGCGTCAGCCCCAAGGCTCTTCAGCTTCAAGGATTTTGCACTTATGTTCCCTCCGTATCCACCTGCCATCCTCCCTAACGCCTTCACGTCTGGATTCGAATTCACATCCTTAGACAGGCCCTCCTTGGCTAGCCCGTTCTAATATTGCAGCGCCCTCCCCCTACACTGCCCCCCGCTCCCTGTCTGCCTCCACTCTGCTTTATCTTTCTTCTTAGAACTTATTACATAGAACATTATGTATCTGGAGTATCTTTGTCTGTCTGTCTCTCTGTCTACCTATCTTCTATGTATCTGTATATCTGTCTATAGAAATAGATAATTTACTTGTTTCTCTTTGCCCCTTACGTTCAATAAGTCCCCAAGAAAGGGAGTGTTTTTTCTTTTTTAAAATCTCTCTGCTTCACTGATATCTCCATCTCCAGCGACTTGGCCTAGGTGGCACATAGTAAGCGTAGTGGTAAACATGGCTTGTCCATAACTAAGGGAATTTTCTCTGCTGCTTCCTCGAAGGGTTTGCTATTCCTCCAGAAAGTATTTATTTCTAAGTATAGGCACCGTGCTAGCCCCTGGAGCTTCAAAGGTCAGCCAAACGATTTGGTGCTGCGCTAAGAGAATTTGGCTGGTGGCTAGGGATCCAGTCAACGCGAAATAATTAAATCAGCAGTGAAATTTCCTGACAGTCATAAGGTCTCAGAAGACATAAGGCAGGAATGTGATGGTGGCTGCGGGAATGGTCAAGGAAGGCCTCCCTGAGCCGGTAATATTTGGAAGAGGGTGTGGGCAATTCCAGCTTCAGGAATTGGCACGAGCGAGCGAGAGCCCTGTGGCAGGAATGAGCTAGATGTGAATTGTCCGCTGCCCACCAGTCCCACTGCAAGTCTTACAGCTCCTCCTGCTTGGCCCAGGCCAGCTACACCTGCCTCCTGCTTGCTGTTACTCAGACCTGCCCCGCTCTGCCTGCGCCCGGGACTCTGCATCTGCTCATCCCTCTGCCTGGATTGCCAGTCCTTGCTGGTCCGACATCCAGGGCCAAATGGAAGGTCACCTTCCGGGGGAGGATTTCCCTGTCTCTTATCTAAAGCATCTGCCCCCTTGGTACTCTCCTACCTCACCTTCGTTCTACCTGTCCCTGGCTAACCTGACCCAGAAAGTCACTGCAGCTGAGGGCAGTGTTTATTTTTAATGCTTGATGAATGTTTACGGATGTGCACACCTGGGTAACCCACACCCGGATCGAGGTCCGGATCATTCCCAGCCTCGTGCCCCTTCCCAGTCAATGCCACTCCAGCTCCCCAAGCCCAGCGAGGCAAGCACCATCCTGACTTCTGGGGCCACAGAGTCCTTTTGTGGAGAGCAGTATTTTCATATTTGCCGGAAGAGAAGAAACACCGAGTGGGCTGGCTAAGAACAAATTCTTAAGCCCACTCCTTGAGCCACTCCACTCCTGCATCAGAATTTCCTAGGGCAAGACCTGGGAATCACAAGGGCTTCAGGAAATTCTTATCATAATAAAAGTCTGGGTCCTACCGGTTGGTGGGTAAGTCTGTAGTTCTGGAGTCAGGCTAGTCCACGGCCACATAAATCCTGGAGCTACTATGCTGTAACCAGGTGGGTGACCTCGGCAACCGATTCAGCTGCTCTGTGTCTCAGTTTTCTGTAAATTGGAGATGATACTAGTACCTGCTTCATTATGCTGTTTTTCAGAGGAAATCAGTCAGTACTCATAAAGCGCTTAGAGTCGTGCCTGGCTCTGTAACTGGGCCACAAACCCTAGCTATTATTATTTTTTATTTCTACTTGGTTCTTATGTGTCTCCCACCAGACTGCAAGCTCCAGGAGAGCATAGACTTGGCTTATTTTATTAACCCCCGGAGCCTAGAACAGGGCCTGGCATGCATTGTTTGTCGTTGATTGAATTCATGTCTGTTTCCATCAGCTCTGTTTTAACTGTTTGCTACTCTGCCCAGCCAGGCCTTCTCAGTTGCACCCATGGAACATGGCAGTGTTTTTTTTCTGGTCTTAAAATTTCCTCTTTTTGTGTCTTGTTTTTTCTTTCTATAGTTGTTTTTCTTATAAGAGTATTGCAAGTTTTTGGTTAGAAATTTGGAAAAAAAAATACAGAATATAAGGGAAAAAATAAAACTCATTTATAATCTGCTGTCCAGAAGTAACATTTTGATTGGTGAATATACCTAAAGTCTTATTTTCTTTGTGTATGTACGTGTATGTATATGTTTGTATAGATAAACACACAAGTTGTATTCATATATTTTAGAAAAATGTGATTGTAACTTACTGCTGTTTTTAATCTTTTTTGGGGGATACATATTATGATCATTATTTTAAAAAATAACACAAATAATACACAGCTACCTGAGATCCCACCAACCAGACATAAACAGTGTTTATATCCTTGTGTGTGTGAGGTGTGTGAGGAAGATTGGCCCTGAGCTAACGTCTGTGCCCATCTTCCTCTATTTTGTAGGTGGGACGCCTCCCACAGCATGGCTCGATGAGCAGTGTGTAGGTCTACGCCCAGGATCTGAACCAGTGAACCCCGGGCCACTGAAGCAGAGCACTTGAACTTAACCACTACGCCACCAGACCGGCCCCAACAGTATTTACATCTTTACTGTGTATCTTTTTAGACTTTTCCCATAGAAATATAATAGAATGAACCATATGAATTGCTGATATCTGTCTATTTTTAACTTAGAAGTGTTCATTTCACGTGATTCAAATCAATATGTGCTCACCATGTTAATATTATACTCCTGGTAAAGTTTGCTGGTTGTGTACCTGGCATCAATTGTCTCAAATTTTCCTCAGAGTAGAATTTCTGATTTTCAGCCGACTGCCTGACCTCCTGGAAAGAGATTTTTCCCAGCCTCCTTCATAGGCAGACATGGCTATAAGACTAACTTCTGGCAATGTAAATGAAATGTTGTGATGTGACTGCTGGGAAATCTCCTAAAAATAACAGTTGACATACTGTTGGAGGAGGTCATCAAGAGGATGTGACTGCCGGTGACCCTCCAGCCGGACCCGGGCAATCGGAGGTTCCTCGCCCCTCCCCTGTCCTTGGAATGGACACTTCACATACAGTTCCCCCAGTGGGAGCTGTTCCAACGACACGGCCTTGAGAGGGGAGGGTGTTGAGAGCATCTGGATGGCGTTCGTGACAGAATCCAGTTAAGGCCTCCATATGAACTTTTAAGATTCTGGGGGCAGGTGTGGAGATCTCCTCGGCTTGCAGCCTCCAAGACAAGCCTAGGAAGTAAGTTCCCTTGCTTATCAAACCTGCCGCCGACCGATCTGGAGTGGTCTCTCTCTCTCTTTGGTCTCTCCTTGCCTGCTGTGTATAGGGGCCAGTTTGCGAACCAACACATATGCCATTTGTCCTGCCTTCTTTTTCACTCCCTCCCTTCCTGGCTAGGAATGAGGATGTGGTGACTGGAGTGCTACTTGCTATTTTGGACTCTCAGATTGAGGATATATAGTCTAGGTGTGGTGGAGTGGTGAGTTGCAAGTAGCCCAGGTCTCTAACTTCTTTATAGAGATGTCAACTGGACTGCCCACTCCTGGGTTCATTTACGTGAGAAATGCACTTTAATTTTGTTTCAGCTACTGTTGGTTGTGTATGTGTGTGTGTGTAAGGGGGGCTGCTTCTTTCACATGCAGCCGAGTCAAATCCTAATCAAACACAATACTATGCATATTGTTTTGTGATTGGCTTTTTGAAGACTTTTCACAGTTTGGTTGGTGCGTTAGAATGACCTCAAAGTTAAATCTCCAGATGCCGCAACCCCATTTGTGGAGACTCTCTTCAGAAGGTTTGGTGTGAAGCCTGGGCGTCTGTACCTTTGACCAGCTCCCTGGGGGATTCCAATGCACTTGGTGTTTGCAAACCTCTGCTCCCCACTGTTAGTTAGTTTTGTTTTGTTTTGTTTTGTGTTTGTGAGGAAGATTGGCCCTGAGCTAACATCTGTGCCAATCTTCCTCTATTTTGTATGTGGGATGCCGCCACAGCATGGCTTGATGAGTAGTGCTAGGTCCACGCCTGGGATCTGAACCTATGAACCCCGGGCTGCTGAAGCAGAGTGCGCAAACTTAACCACTATGCCACCTGGCTGGCCCTTTCCCCATTGTTAGTTTTAATGGTTGCATAATATTTCATTATAAGGTTGCATCATAATTTATTTGATATGCTAATGGATGTTGTTAATAACTTTTTAGATCTTATAAGTAATACACTGCAATAGCTTGTTTATTGGCCCCTGTGAATGCATTCTCTCTCTGTGCCAGCCATCCTGAACAGAGCTGTCAGAACAGC